GTAGATATAGTCCATTAAAAACCAAATGTATCACTGACGCAACCTAAAATGCGGACCGTTTTTCCTTCCGACAATCGGATAGCAAATACCCATCGGATAGCCAGCAAAATCGGAACATGATCGGATACAAAAACGGAGACGGATCGGGCAAGTCCAGTACCATTTTGCTCTCAGATCTTCTCCCGATTGTATGATCGGAGTCGGATCGGATAGATCTGACCCGACCTTTAATATTTCCCTCGCGTTCATACTGCGCTTGTTTCAGTAGAGTTTCAATTTCATTATTGTCATGTCTTTTCCAGTTTGGCCCATCAAGTCAAGGTTATGGCCCCACATCCGGTTGCCCTTCTCCCGGCCCAACTTTGCGACCGCCGCACTACCTCAAACACCACCTGCAACACAAAATGGGTTTTGCAGGTGTAGGACCTGGTTCAGCACCACCCAGTCCAGGTCCTCAAAATTTTCATATGGGACCACCTGGCCATCACCATTCAGGTATGGGTGTTCCACCCTCAATGGGGCCGCCCCATATTCCGCCATCAAGTAGCCCGATGCTAACCAATAACCATCCACATGAAGGTCCAATGCCACCACCGAGTTCGACGCCAAATTCTCATTCACAATTGGTAAATGATATGCTCGATAATGGAATTACTACAACATCACAGGGCTCGATGAATACTCATGTAACGGCTACATCGGTTGGGTCGGTTACATCCGTAGTTACCACGGGACCTGATGGTGCTCCGATCGACGAAGGTTCGCAACAATCCACACTCTCAAATGCGTCTGCAGGTAAGTTCGATCAGCGTCTACCAGATTGAACTATTGTCGCAGCATTTCTCGAATGTAGCCCATGACACTTTAAATATTTAAAAACTATGTTTTGTTGATCAGCTTCGGGTGAGGACCCCGCGTGTCCACCCACTCCAAAATCGAATAGAAAAAACGATATGGGGCACTACAGCCATCCACCCACTCCACAAGGTGCAGTTTCACATGAAGATTATGGAGAAATCAGTAGTCCCGGCTGGGCTCGTCCACCTGCTAGTCCGGTGAGTCGAAAAGTATGATTTTTTCACTTTTCCTTTAATGTTGATGTGTTGTCTTCAAAGGGAAGGGTATATTAGAGAGTCGAAAAGAACCAAAATCCTAACAATAAGTGAATAAAATGTTGAAGCAAACAATAAGCGGATGTTATTAGTTGATGATTGACTGATTAGATTAGTAATATGTGTGTTTAGTTGGAAATTCGTACTCACTGATAAATACACGTTGTTCTAAAAATGTAATTAGTTTATCTGGTTCTCAATTTGATATCCTATATATACCCCTTCTTTTGGTCATATCTTTGAATTGACTGTCTTGATATGCTGTTGACAGTGAATTTAGAGAAAATCTGTTACTTAAACTTGAATATTTTCTTGAAAATTGCTAAAAAATTCAGTCAAATAAAATAATTATCGCTTTCAAATTCCACTTGGTTAATTCAAACATGGTTTCAGTAACAGATCCTGAAGTAATTTGTAGTTGTGTCGCCGTTTTGTGGGTGTTCTTCGAAAATTTTATTGTGTGTTTCCATGTGTCAGGTCTAGTTTGGTGTGTTATTTATTCACTTCCTATTTCAATTAGAACACTGCACTTTATGTTTGAAAAATCTACAACAATTCCTTATTGATCTATTTTGTCCATATCAACTTAATTTCTTCAGCTCTAAAACTGCAGTCTAAACCAAGACAATAATAAAATGAAATACAAGTATTTAATTGTTTATGCAGTTTAATTTCACTGTGAAAGTGTTCATAAGTATTGTTTAGATCAGCAAAAGTTGCTTGTGTTGTGCACATTTTTATATTTGTGGTTTGGCGAATATATCCCTATTTATTCTCTCGTTTGATGCACTTGTTTTATTGATTCTAGTTATTTTGTTGAGACCTTGATAGCGTTTTTTCTTATTCCGAAAGCTGCCTTGTATCAAAGAAAAAAAATTAAAAAGCTACTCTGAAACTTCAAAAAAACTTGGCTAACAGAGATGCAACTAGACACGGAATATTTAAATATGACACTTACTGGCAGCAGCGGTTTAACTGAATGTTCTTAAATACGTTTTTAATTAATGGCGGCACAACTACTAACACTTTTTGTAAGACTAGTACAAGGAACTTAAAAAACGCTATTTACATTTTCTTCAATCTCTAATCGTGTTTGCAACACTAGAAAGTTATATAAAAATATAAGAGCATAGTTACTTTTTTAATTATTCTTGTACTCAGGAGTTTTAACAGTACTCGATTTAACAGTACTTTGCACAATTCTAATTTCACATTGATAATTTTAACTAACTGGAGGATATTTCCAGGTGTTTAACAGTCATGTGCCTCCACAGGAAACATATCGCTCAAAGGTTTATATACACATATTTAAATTTTAGTTGTATTTGCCTTCATTGCTTGTCGCTGCATGTTTTTTGCATGATTTACCATAGTGATTGTCTTATGCTAATTAGTTAACTGACCAATAGTTTAGTTTAATGCTTTATACACAAACTTAACTTAGATGCTTTATTAATAAGATGGTTTGATTCTAATGTAGGTTTAACTAACATGCCCAATCACTATTGTTATGATAACGTTTCCATTAATATGGTTTATTCAAAAATGTTTCCTTCATGTCGTCTTTGTCATCACATAATTCAGCGTCTAATGGTGATTCCTTTAACAACAATGCGTGTTTAACACTAACATTAGTATTTATTGTGAAAATATTGTTTTATTTATTGGTGCCACTCAGTTTCTTGTTAGATATGTCATTGATTGGGACAATAACAATAATAATGCCTGTAAAAAGTGACAATGGGAAAACCTCTTTCATAACTGGGTACTTGGGATTTAGCACAATTTTTATCTCAATCATTAATTAATATAGAATTAGCATTCATGTCTAACCAGTGGAAGTTGGTCAGTTAAATTAATTAGAAACTGTTCATTTTCTACCTCGCAAACTTTGCCCGACCAAAAGATATTTAAAGTTTGTTTAATGATAAGCCAAGGCGACTCATTGCATAAAGTTAAGGAGCAATGGACTGAGAATACTCTAGGAAATGGACAGAATGTAGTAAAACTAACCAATAGTATATTTAGCATCCTTCTGTTGTGTTCTGTTAAATGTGACCGTTGGGTGTGGTGTAATTTCAGAAAACAGACAGCCTCGGAAAGTTGTATGAAATGGACGAGAGCCCAGATCGAAGGGCGTGGCTAGATAAACTCTTGGCATTCATGGATGATAGAAGGACGCCTATCACTACTTGTCCGACGATTTCCAAGAATCCCCTAGATTTATTTCGCTTGTATGTGTATGTTAAGGAACGCGGTGGCTTCATGGAGGTTTGTACCTGTTTGGGTGTTTTTTCTGCTACCACCGTTATGACTTGCATGGACTATTCGTTCAGTGTTCTATTCAATTATACTTTTTCTATTGTTGTAATTGTTAAACCCCTTTTACTTAAATGTTAGATTTTATTCTTAGGATACCGATTCAATTTTAATTAATCTTATTTTATTTTAGTTAATAAATTATTTCATATCGGTCATAACGGTAGTGCGGCTATTTTTTGAGTTAAGACAGCTGTCTATAACGAAATCTTCGTAATTAATTACTTGTATAGGAGGCCCAGTTTAAACTAAGGTATTTCGGKCGAAARTAATGAAAATAGAAACCGCTTCACGACATTGCTTAAAAAATAGGGGCCTCCGATAAAGTGTGTAAAATACAAGACGAATTTAGTTTCAACATCCTWTAARTGGGTATATTTCAATAAACATGTATCAGCTCAAAACACTAAAATAGTAAAGTATTTTTTGCATTATTTGAACATAATATCAGTGTTGAMTTAAACTTCCTGTTGTTTCAAATGGGCACAATTACAAGCTATTACTTTCCAGGTAACGAAAAACAAGACCTGGAAGGATATTGCAGGCCTTTTGGGCATCGGAGCATCATCAAGTGCTGCGTACACTCTGAGAAAACACTACACGAAGAATCTATTAGCATATGAGTGTCAGTTTGACAGAGGCGGTATTGATCCGCAGCCAATCATAAATCAAGTCGAGGCGAGCAGTAAAAAGAAAGGTGCCAAAGCGACTTCAGTTCCTTCTCCGGGTTCGTCGAACTCACAAGATTCATTCCTTCCCAGCGGAGGAGGCGGATCTATGGATGGTTATGGAGGATATAACGGTTATCCGTCCTCTGGAAACTCTGAGTATGCTCAGCGACCTTCGCCTCAACCTGCCCCTTCGCCACACGCAGGTAAGCTGTTGTTTACAGATCTAGTTTTACTTTTTGACACAGACAAGCCGTTTGCTTCCTTTGTCACTAGGAATAGAGACACTTACCTAAAGAGGAGAGTTAATAAAATGTATATTGGTTGGGAAAATGCTTTCGCTTCCG